GTAATGTGACTCCCACTACGCCTACACATGCTTTGGGAGCAGCGGCTTTCACGGTAATTTGCTTTTAGATTTCTACAATGAGGAGAGAATGGCAGCAGTCATCTTTTAATCACAGTGTTAATTTTGTAGGCTGTTAGTTGTGTGTCAAGACCCAAACCTTCTTAGGAGAAGTGATACATTCACTGGACACATCTGAAAGGCTTAACATTACATTGAAAACAATTTTTAAAAGGTGGTGTAAACATGCATTTAGTCAAGTACACTTTCAATAAGGTGAAATATGTAGCACAGCCACTTTTGTTTTGGTTAGAATAGCCAGCCTTTGTTTTCCATTTGAAACCATGCACTGGGAGCCACAGAAGTCTAGGAGTCCCTCACAGGCTCCTATGAAATAGTGGATAAAGGAAACCAGACAAACCCAGATGGTTGGAGATGATTCTGCTGCCAGTGCTAGCACCAATGGCACCTGCAAGATGGCTGAGCCCAGGAGCTGGGACATGTCCCTGAAGTGCTTCTCTGAGTCACTGTGGCAGCTGGACTGGGGCTAAATTGAAACCAGAAATACCAGTTGTCATGTCACTCAGACGCTCTGCTTTCAGCCAAGTGGTAGATGGAAAAAAATACTACCAGATGTTCTTATGTTATTAATATTGTTATTATTATTATTATAAATAATATTCCGTGCTAGCTGGCTTTCACTCCGGGCACATCTGGAGCACACATGCTTGGGATGGGAGCACCAGCCGCCTGCTGTCCCCCTCCTTCACTGCACACCTGTAAGAGGGGCACCCTGACCTGCCATGGGGTACCCATGGCTACCCATGTGTCCACTCACCCACAGCCCTGTTTTGAGAGCTCTGCACCCCTATGCAGCCCTGCTGTGGGCACACTGGATGTACATGATGTAGGCAAAATACAGATACTGCTTTTGCTGGCTGCGTCTTTGCTGCTGGAGATGCTGATGTGATACGCTCATGGTGTGGAGCATCTCTAGCCAACAAAGTAGAATCCTGTGAGACACTTCAGACGAAGTTTGCTGCCTAAGTTACCTTATCTAGCATTTGACACAAAACTCTTCAAAATGTTTCCATGCAATTTTTCCTGCTCCATTTTATCAAAAAATGGACTGGGTATGGATATGAAATGGAAGTGTGTGACACACTGTCAGTGCTGCTCTCACCAGAAAACCCCAGGACGTAAGGGTGCGTCAGCTGCCAGACACTGTTTGACATTAGTGCCAAACTATTATTTGTTATTACCACCTTAGGCCAGCTGTCTAGGCATACAGGAACAGGGAAAAATTGTACTGAAGGAGGTGACGACAGTGGTTCATTAAAAAAAAATAAAATGCAAGGATGCTATTAAACACGGCATAATGGTATTAGTGTATCTTTGACCTGAACAGACACAGCTCTAGCATAAATATATTGGATGGAGCTTTATAAATCGACTTTTGCAGTCAATTTATTGCACTAAGACAGTATATTTCTCATTATTACATTGTGGTGACATGCAGTAGGGTAAAGTACTTTTCATGGACATAGGAAGATCCTGTACCTTAAAATTTTACAACCGTCAAAAAAGGAAGTACAGTCCTCTGAAGTCAGCCCAGGAATGACAGATCCTTCCTCTTCGTTGAGACAGAATATATCTCATCTATACCATAAGCAGAGAGCCCTGAGGGTCCCCACTAGAACAGCATGGACCCACTGGTGGTCCCTGAGCTCCTGGCTATGTGTGGGCAGGAACTTGCTGCAGATGCTGAGGAAGGGCAATGCTTGCTGCAGCCAGAGAGACTCAAACGAGAGGTAAAGCAGAGCAAGGGAATCCTGCCCAAAACAGCCAGCTGCATTTGGGGATATATCAGCTGTGTCATGCATGTAAGCTGGCTCTGTTCAAAAGCCTCCCATCTGACTCTAGTTGGGTCTGCATTGGAGCAATTCCTCTATCTTCAATAATGCCATATTTTTTTATCCATACTTTGAGCAAGAGTTCTCATCCTATGCAATCAGATTTCCACACAACCAACTTTTCTGGAGCATGTCTTCTTTGCACATTGGTTAGGGTGGAAAACCCTACGTGACTACATGAGGATGCTTGGGTTTCTGGAGACCCAGGAGCTGAGGTAAAGGACACAGGTCACACAGAGCTCTGTTGCTCACTGCAGCACCATGAGTAGATTGTACAAATTCTTCCAGCCAGGAGCCCTGCAGGGAAAAGGAGGCCCCAGCAAAGCCATGGGTGAGGGCTGAGCAGATCAGTTCACTCAGTAGGGAATGCTAGCCAGAAATTTCTTCTTTTATATTTTCTCTTTTTCCTTCTGCGCCTCTAGGGAACAGAATAAACAACATATATATTGGAAGGAGCTTTATCAGACATCTCGCATTTCCCCAACATGCTGCTGGCAAACAAGACCTGCATTGGTCTGTAGCCATAAAGAAACAGCAGGAAGTCTTTTCACTATTAAATCAATGAGGCATTGCCACGGAGGTGAATAAGTCACAGCCTTCCTGCTTGTCACCTGAGAGGCACTCACTCAATCTATGGAAAAGAGAGGGACAATTAGGTGATAGGGGCGTTTGTTCCTCCTCTCCTTTTTTTGCTGTTTTTGATCCCAGTAGTTTACTGCTCCAAGTGGAAAATAGGGATCGTTACTGTTTTCAGCCTTGTTTTCTGTTAGACGCTTATAAATCTTGCTAATTAGCCGTAGAAATCATAAAAGCTCAGCATCATGTTTTAATCATAAACTCCTCAGGCCACTGATGTTCTTGTCATTCCCTGAATCCTCATTTCCATGTACAAATTACCAAGCTCATAACACTTTGGCAGCTCATCTCTCATGCCAGTGCTATTTCCAGCAGAATTATTACTTCAGTAACAAAGCCACAAACATACACCTGCAAAAACTAAGAGAATAACACAGCAATGGAAGTCCTCCACTCCTTGCACTATTGGAATATTAAAGATACTATGAAAGAATTAAACACAGGATTCAAATATAAGGCCTGACTTAGAGATTAACAAAACCATTTTCTCTTTCCAGTGAAGCTAAAGGAAATCTCCCCAACAAGCAGATAAGGAGGAAATCATAAGCACTGCACTTACACACCAGTGCTAACATGCAGAGGGTTTCTGGGGCAGTCCAGCAGGTCCAAAACATGACGGACACAGCTGTGAAATCAAACTTCAGCTGAGTTTGTATCCAAATCATCACAAGAGAGGTCAGTGTCTGCTAAGACACTGGATAATAATAGCTTGCTTAATTATACATTTTGCCTGTAATTTAGTCCAGACCAGCTTTCCTAGTGGCAGTGGAGGAGGGTATTTTCCAGTTCTTTTATGTTCCTCTGATGAATGGATAATGCCCTCAATATATACGCATGTATCTAATTTACACTTTAAACTTTAACTCAATTTAATTTTGTCAAAATAAATATTATTCTTCACTTTTCCAAATTTTGCTTCAGCACTTATAAAGTAAACATTTTGCTTAGGAATGTGGAAAGCCTGTGCCTGCTTAATGCCTCTGCCTCACAGGGGGAGCAGCAGCCCGTACATCCATTGTGGTGGCTGAGGGCTGCGCAGCAGCCAGCGCTGTGTCCTTCAGGGGACCAGGCCCTCCTGACTAAATGTGTCAGAGGAGCAGTGAGGACAGCAGAGCGTCTGCTTTGGTCATTTCTGTCATTTGCCTTTTAAAGCCCAAATAATAGAAGAAGAATGGGATGATGTGATAAAAGTTTTTTCTATTTTTGTTGTTGTTTCCTTATGTGCTTTGTTATGACATTTTTTTTCACTCACAGAGAAATTACAGCAAGTAGTCCACCAATTAACTTACTATCCACAAGAAGATGATGCCAGCCACATTTCTGAGGTCACTGTGATGAAGAGCTCAGAGCTCCTGTGCTGCGCATGGCTATGAGAATGACAGAAAACGGAGCTGCATCGAACCAAGCTTGACCACTCAACTTCAGTTCACTTCAGCTGTGACATGGTCAAGGTGTCACTGGTGCAGGCTGCCCACAGAGGATGTGAGGGCTTCTCCTTGGGGATCACCAAGAGCCACATGGACATGAGCCTGAGCACACTGCTCTGAGTGTCCCTCCTTGAGCAGAGATTGGCACAGAGGGACCCAGAGGTCCCTGCCAACCACAGCCATTCTGTCATTCTGTGTGAGCCTCTGCTAGCTATTAATGATACGCCTAAAACTAGTTGCTGGCTGTGAGGATCTCCAGTAGTAATAATATCCTGGTTTGCAGCAGCAGGAGCAAGGCACATAGAACATGGCTAACCCTCTAGCAGGTCCTGGGAGAGGCTTGGGTGCCTACAGGGAAGATGGCTCTATCTGTTTCCTTGATCAAAGGCTTCTGTATAGATAAACAGATTATGTTTTCTAAAAAACTGGATCAAAAAGTCACTGATCATGAGTTTCTGCTTGAGTCCTACTTTCTGAGCTGTTTTCAAGCAAAAGTGAAAATTGAAAGCTGGCAAACTTACAAGATCAATAGGCTTTACTTAAAATGACTCACCAATTAGCATGTCTGTGGCTTTTAGTAACATTGTAGTCTTGCCAATCACGCTGGTTTAAACTTTACCTCATATATAAATTACACGCCCATATTTGTGTCTCCTCTTTTTTTTCCTTTTTCTTTTCCCTTCACTTGTTTTTTGTTCTTCTTCTTTTTTTTTTTTCTCCCCCTCTTTATTTTCCTTTCCCTTTTCCTCCACCTGCCTTTTCCATATCCCTTTTTTCTCCCTTCCACTTCCATGGGCTCCTACATCTGACCTCTCTGGGGAAGCCTGGCTTGTATAAGTATGACTTTGGGCGCAGGAGGAGCGGAGCAGAAATGAGAGGGACTGCCAGACTCCCAGTGATATGTAGCCAATACTTCCCTTTTCAAGTTCAAGGTTCCACAGGGGTTAGAGGGTCTTAATAAAAGTACTTTTAAGAGAACAAGATGAGAGCTGTGAATAGCACTACCCTTTTCTCTCTGAGTCTGGCTAGCAGATCATGGCTTTTATGGGTTTGGAAGCAGCCCTAGCTACTGTCATCCATGCCTTTGTTCTCCTCTGACCAAATTGCTGAGGAATACTCACAGGATGAGGCAGCTGGGAGGTGCTGGGGAGTAAACAGTGCAGAGAGCAGCTGGCATTACCACCTGGAAAACTGATAGATGAGCGGCCTTTGGACAGATTTAGCTTGCAGAGTCTCAACTGTAGTATAAATTCTCAGTTTTAGCAAAAACATCTGCAATAGCATGGAGCTTAGATGCTGGAGAGGCCTGTTCCTGCCCTTGACTTTGTGTGTGCATGTACGCTGTATGGGAACTGTTGAGTAACAGCCTGAACCACTGATTGAGCACCTGAGGAAAGGACTGAGCCAGCCGTGGGATCACAGGTGAGGGTGATTCAGCTGTGTGACCGGGAGACCCGTTTAAGCGCTGACTGCCTCTGGAGAAGGATCTCTTTCTGGAGATCCCTTCCCTGTGGAGTCTTTCCTGCAAACCTAGATCTTTGGATTCAGGTGAGCATTCCTTCCCTGTTTGTTTCTTTTCCCATTTTCACCACAATAACCTTAGCAACTATTACATAAATCTGTTCAAACTTGACTCTGATGTCTAGGAAAAACACCTGTGAGCCTAGTGTCCTTCATGAATCTCTCCTGGCTTTGATGTTTGAAACCCTAGAGACGTGGTTGGATCACCTTGGCTGGGCGAGCTGGAGCACTGCAGCCTAACTCCAGCCTGGCTGTGCTTGAACTCTGAGCCCTGCAGACAGATGATTCCCTGTTAGAGAGGCTGCACTTCACCTTGCGTTTGGCATGTGTGAAGCGTGCTCACACAAACACTCCCTACACAGAAACTCATTAATCAAGGGGAACCTGATCATGTGTCTGAGCCCTTGTTCAGTCTGACTTAGGGCAGGTTTGTTGACCTGAGAGGCACACTGCAAACCACATTATTCCTCGTAGGCATTTACAGAGGTTACAAGCCTGGGGAACATGTGGTTAAAAGGGAAGTAGGCCATGTATTTATATGGTTTCACTTTCTTCTTTTTTTTTTCTTCTTTTTTTTTTTTCCCCCTGTGTAGTACGTTATTTTCATTGCTATGAAAATGCCTATGGCAATTGGCTCAGCACTTCTGTGTGTGCAAGAAATCTAAAGAAATTAAAAGTCTTCCAGGGGCTTAAGCATCATCCTGTGTTTAGCTAAGATGAAGCTTAACAACAGCCTTGTCTTAGATGGGTTTATACACAGAAGCATGAATCTCCAGGGTGGTCTTAAGGGTCTGTTGTATCCACCCTCATCTGCAGTGCTCTGGCCATGTTTCCTACTACGAGTTTGCACAGGTGTCTGCACGCTTTGGCTTTGACAGTACTCATTTCTTCCAAGAAGACGCCAGGCTGAAAAAGTTGCCTGACAACAGCTTAGCCATGATCATTTTGCTGGGCTGGCAGACAGGCGAAAACCTCTGGAGAACTGCTTGCATTGGCTGGGGAAAGTGGAGCGACCATCAGGCACAAGACCCCCCAACACCATTTTTACAGCTTTGCTTTCCAGGGCTGACCTGCCCGGAGAGTGACATAACAGAGCCCACACAGTGAGTCAGTGCTGGAACTGAGCTCCTGGCGCTTCGTGCTCTGTTCGCTCTGCTAAACCACACTGAGATTAAACCAGCAGAGGCAAAGAGAAGCCTGGATATGAGGGAATTTAGCAGGGAGAACCTGCCTTGACTCATTAATGGAAACTTTTGAAAACAGACAGCAGCAGTAATTTTATTATATATATTTTTTCCCCATGCTGAAACAATTTGTGTGCAGTAGAGTCATTCCCTGGAAAAACATTTCTTTAATTTATCTTCTTTAATTATCACTCATCTTTAGTGGCATCTGGTTCTGATATTTTATTAGAAAGTTTGCATGTTTGAACTGGGCCTGGGTGGCATTTCCTTTTTTTTCTTTCCATTTTCTACTCTGATGGTACTTCCCGTGGTGGGAAGAGATTGGATTTGCTTTATTTCACAAGGCATAATAAATCATATGGATGTTCTACTTTAACATCATTATTACCATGTAAGCATGCTCAGAGACATGTCCTGCAGATTATTTGGTGCAGTTACTTGAGGTTAGAATGCCAAGCATTACAAACAGCAGACTGGGTTCCTGTTGAGAAGATGTGTATACTGCTTATGGGAGGATGTGCTTTCTAGCCAACATCTCAACAACTGTCTGGTGATACTGAGTAGCTTATGATGTCCAAAACAAAGCCTGAATTTGGAGAGAACTCCCTAAAATTGGGCTCCTTTCGTATTTCCCAAGATGTGCATCCAAAGCATGAAGTATTTGGCATCCAAGTCCCTGCTGAGCTTTTTAAGTTCCACTTTCTATGAGGAACTGTAGACAAAAGGGAAGACGTTACTGCTTTTGTGGGCTAGTTCATCCCCAGTTAGCATTGCTTTTAAAGACTTGCTTTCTGCTAAGAGATATAGGTGCTGTTTTTTTTTGTTTGTTTGTTTTTGTTTTTTGCTGCTTGTTGACAAACCTTTTGCTTATGGATGAAAACAGCTAAATGCTGTCTTTCTATGCTTGATCTTTTCTCAAGTAACCAGCCAGTGCTGCTCAGAAGTCACCTATTAGGCAAACATAAAGTCACCTGTAACAAGAAGTTAACTGAGTTTCTGAGAGGGAGAAAAATGTCATTCAAAGGATCATAGATGTAAGCTCCCAGTATTTTACATCTGAAAATGAAAATGAGATCATGAAGCCAGTTGTTGAAGCAGGCAGAAATAAAGAAATGTGAATCTTAGTTGACACTTCCCAGTACCTTATAGTATTGTATTTTCTTCCCAGTGGCATTTGCTTACTCAACATGCTGTACTGGATTTTTTGGTGTATACTTAGCTTGAGGTCTGCCTGTTTTCCCTATCATGCATTTTTCTTTCCTTCTGGTTAAACAGAATTATGGCCAATTAAGTGTAATCTAGCAGTCACTTGTCCTCATACACATGAGCCAGTGACTGCTCCTTCTTGTCCAGAAAAGTCTGTGCCCTTGTCTACTGATGTGTAATGCCCACAGAAGTCTCAATGAAACTTCGCCTCAATAAGCAGTTTGGTTTTGGAAGAGAAGAACTGCTAGTCCTGAAATGCAGTACAGAAAAGCTACGCTGTGAGGAGACATTCAAACAGTCATAAGGAGGACATAAGTTAGCACATCTTGTTACAGTCCCAGAATTGGAAGGAAGGACCTGGGCCAGCCTGCGCCTACTCTACTGCAATGCCAGATGGTTAATATGATAATAGGATAAATGTACTTCCAGGTAACTAAAATGAGCTGGTTTATTTATTTATTGGGAAACAAAGGATACTACGTCCTACAGCAGGTGGCATTTTTTTTGCAGCACAAGTTGGCAATGCTTTCTCTTTGTGGTATATGCTTGCCCCGTGCATCTGTTTGAGCTACCAATGCTTCTGTCCTTCAAATACTGGGACTCTGGTCTGCAAAGCCTACAAAAGAAAACAGTTTGTATCAGACATCAGGAGCTATCTATCTAATATTCTTATTGACTGGAAAGGTATGGATGAGCCTCATGATGCCAACATGAGTGGCATGTTGGAACAGGGCAATCTGGGACCAGCTGAGCTGTGGAGTTAGCAGGGTGGCCTCTATGTCGATAGACCTACCAGAGGTTGTTGCTGGGAGCTGGATTTTGATATCACCCTGGGCAGTGAGCCTTGCCCAGCCTGGGAGTGATTTCAGGAGTATGGGTCTCTTCTCTACCTGAGTTGCTAGGGGCTCCAGTACAAGGAGGAAAGGTTTCACCAAGAAGTCTAGCCACGTATGGATGCCTTTGGACTTTCCCTCAAGGATAAAGTGAAAAATATGATAATAAATTGACAAACCCCATTCTCAAAATCACAGTACTGTTTCCTTTTCCAAGCATTTATAAAATGAGCAATTCTTCCCCATCCTCCAAATTATCCCAAGCTCTGCCCTTTTGGCAACTAAGCTAGGTCTCCCTTCTGCAGACACTGTAGTAAGAGTATGGGTCTCGGTCTGGTGCCCCTGAACAGCTCCCCAAGATCTCCCTGGCACTGAAAAGACAGTCCTGCTGATGCAGCCAGAGTTCATTTGTGCTTCTTGATTGTTGGACTTTTGGCTCTGATTTTCCCAACCAGTTCAGTAGGCCCTGCAGGAAGCTCAACCAGATTCCTGCAGGCCCATGACTTTTCCATTGTCCTGTGTTAACTGCAGGGCTGGCTGAGTTCAAGCCGTTTTTCATCCTTTCTGATTGTTTTCCTTACAGTCTGTGTTAATAAAAATATTTGTGTGATTTGTGCAACAATTAGGCCAACACACACTTAAGATTATTGCTGAGTAGCCCTATATCCCTCACCACACACTACCTAGCCAAATAGATAATAGACTGCTCCTTGTCCATCATTTTTCTTTAGCACATCAACTTTAGAGTTGTGCAGCATAATTTACGTGGAGGAATGCCTACTCTGACACCTGCTTTCCTATGATTAGACTAAGCAACATACAGGTTCAGGGATGTTTGGTTCAGGGATGTTTACAAAATGATCTTGTAAAGTAAGTTTGAAGTGGGCCCATGTGGCAATATTAAGGTTTATTCTTGGATGGGATTCATCTTGTTTCACCAGTTTTGGAAAAGATAAATCAGTTCTGAGGTGAAGTACAAACAAGTGACTCAGTTCAACCACAGATTTAAAAAATCAAGGTTGGGGAAAGTTGTTCTCACTTGTTCAGTTGATTACACAAAATAAGTTGCAATAGGTTCTCATTCCAGTACCTAGAGAACATATTCTTTTAATGCAGATGACAAGAAAAGCATGTTCCTTAGAGCCTCTCTGGATCTTGACTGGCAAGCTCGCAAGAAAATAAACATGGATGCTAATGCCTTCTTCCATCTCTTATTGAGTACTACGCAAATTCCTCTAGAGAGCTTTTAATACAGATAGTTCTACGGGGAGCATGGTGGGAGGAAGGCATTATGCAGAGGAGAGATTAGAAATCCCACTCTTATTGAAAACAGTCTGACCTCCACCAAAATGGAACAGGAGCTGTTCTGAGATCCTCCCCTGTCCCAGCAAAACCATCTTGCGCTACAGGAGTCTTCATTTTCCTGGGCTGCTGCTTTTTCAGGGCCGAGATGTTTACCTTGCTAAAGCAACTGAAGTAGAAAGAAACAAAAGCCTCCCGCAAAAAGGTGGAAAGTGATCATGTAATTTGAAAACTGGGTTCTGCACTGTGTTTTAAAGCTGTCATGGATGCAAGTTTGGCCCTTGTAATTGAAATGGTAACAGCTGGGGACTACGATTCCTCTACAGTTTTTTTAACAAGCTTCTACCCTCATCACCAGACAGCCCCAATGGTTCAA